GTGAGCCAGCGAAGCTCCTGTGCAGCCATGGCCCCTGCGTAGATCTCAGCCTCACAACTCGAGCTGAGAACCGAAGACGAGCGAGTAGCCCGCCACGAGACAGAGCCGGAGCCAAGGCTGAAGGTGTAACCCTGTGACGACCGCTGCGTAGCCTGGTCGTCAGCCCAAGAAGCGTCCGCGTGACCTGTAAGTACCACTGGACTCCGCCCTCCAAGCACTAGCCCCATGCCCGACGTACTGCACAGGTAGCGCAATACCCTCTTCGCTGCAGCCATGTGCTCTGGTCGGTGTCTCCCAGGAGCAACATAGCGTGCAAGAATGCTAAGAGTGTATGCAAGGTCAGGTCGTGTGCAGGTCATCAGGTACATGAGGCAGCCAACAAGCTCTGGGTACGGGCCACTCGACTCTACGGACTCATCCGAAGGCAGAGCTGAGAGCGAGTGGCGAGTAGACAGAGGAGTGGCCTGAGGCGAGGAGTACGTGAAGCCGAAGCGCTGAAGGACCTGCTGCACCATGTGTGACTGAGTCAAGGTAATGGTGCGGCGTGCTCTGTCCCGAGTGATCTGCAAGCCAAGGTAGCTGCGCAGTTCACCCAGGTCTGTGCACGTGTGTCTCTTCAGCAGCTCTGACTTCACGTAGGCGAGTCCAGCAGTGTCCGCTGTGGCAAAGACCAAGTCGTCGACGTACACGAGGATGTAGAACGGCGGCAGTGAAGTGTCGGTGCGCAGAAACAGCGACGGGTCAGCAGTAGAAGGAGCAAACCCAAGGGCCGCAAGTGTAGTCCTCATTGTGTCGTGCCACTCACGTGGTGCCTGGCGGAGACCGTAGACTGGCCGTCGAAGGCTCCACTGGGTGCCAGGAGGAAAAGTCCCAGTGAAGCCAGGTGGACGGCGCAGCCAGATCTCCTCGTGTAGGCTCCCCTGCAAGAACGCAGTACTGAAGTCGAGAGAGTGAAGCTCGTAGTCGCGCTGAGCGGCTATGTGCAGCAGCACCCGAAGAGTGGTCATCTTCGGGGTGGGAGAGAAGGTCTGAAAGTAGTCAACTCCCTGCCGCTGACTGAAGCCACGAGCGACGTACCGCGCCTTGAAGACTGGTGGAGAGCCCGGCGGCCGTTTCACCCTGAAGATCCACATGCCACTGACGATGTTCGCCCCAGGAGGGGGAACCGCGTCAACGTAGGTGCCTGTGGACTTCCAAGAAGCCATCTCTGCATCCATAGCTGCCTGCCACTGAGAGGAGTAGGGACCCTCTACGGCCTCCGCGTAAGAGCGCGGAGTCGGGATGTCTAGTGCATCCGGGTCTCCCTCAGGAGCAAGCAGTACAGACGCGAGATGAGGTGAAGCAGCAGCCAGACACTGGAACTCCTCCTGCCTGTCCTCTAGGACGTCCGTGCCAAGAGCACACTCACCCCCGACGGACGGAGGACAGACAGACGCAGACTCAGCAACAAGACTAGCAGCGTAGTCTAGACGACAGCGAGCAGCAAAGTCGACGAGCTCAGCGACAAGAGCAGACGCAGCAGCGGACTCAAAAGAGGGGTCAGTGACGACAGTAGCAAGCAGACGCGTGACAGTAGGACTGGCAGCACGAAGGGAGTCCGACTCTGGGTCGGTAAGCACAGGAAGGGAGGACTCAGGAGGAGAAGGCAAAAGGGCACGCAGAGGAGCAGTGGACGGACACAGAGACATCCAGTGCGTGCCAGGGACAGGAGGAGGACGCGGACGCGAACCACGACCACTAGCGCGGACAGCATGAACAGGCGACGCGGGACGAGACGCAGGCTCATGACGCTCAGCAAGACCTCCAGTAGGACCAGTGTAAGGAGAGGGAGCAGGCAGTGGGGAGGTAGGCTCCAACAGTGATTGCGACTGGACAGGCTGTGGACACTCTACCGGAGGAGAAAGACCAAGAACCTGCTGCAGAAGCGGAACGAAGTACGGCTGAGGCCGCGCGGCAGCTTCAGACTCAGTAGGGACAGCACCAGCACCCTCAGCGGCAGCACCAGCGCCACCAACACCTCCAGCGGCAGGACCTCCAGCAGCACCAGCAGCAGAACCACCGTCAGGACAGACAGCAGCAGACTCAGCACCAACGCCCTCAGCAGCCCCAGCTCCAGTAGGACCCGCAGGCGTAGCACCTCCGGGACCGGCGGCACCAGTACCCTCGACGGTCGAAGAAGCTCCAGCTCCAGCAGTACGCCTCCAGCGGCGAGCAAACCACTCGCGCAGCTCCTGTGGAGAGAGGGGCTCCCGCCGAGACGCAGCACCAGGAGAAACCCCAGGCTCAGCGGCTCCAGACGTAGCACCCCCAGGCTCAGCAGCCCCAGACTCAGCACCCCCAGGCTCAGCAGCTCCAGACTCAGCACCCCCCGGCCTCGCACCCCCAGGCTCAGCACCCCCAGCAGCAGCACCCCCAAGCTCAGCACCCGCAGGCGTAGCACCCCCAGACTCTGCACCGCAGCAGGACCAGACTCAGCAGCAACCTCGACTGGCTCGACTGTGTCTACCTGGGACACACCTGAAGGGGCAGGAACCTGAGGGGGGAGGGGGTCTACCGGGGGGGGAACTGGCACCAGGAAGTCCGGTGGGGGGGGGAGGGAAGGAGTACGGTAGGGGAAGAGGCGGTAGAAGGGGACTGACTCGTTGAACGTGGCGTCCTGCGAGGACAGAACACGACGGGAGGAGGGGTGGTAGAACTGCCACCCTGGAGCGTCAGGGGGGAAGCCAAGGAAGACACAGGGAGCAGCACGGGGGGACAGCTTGTCCGCAGACAAGTCGCGGACAAACGCCCGAGATCCCCAGACACGGAACGCAGACGCATCGCCGACCTTCCCCGTCCACAGTAACACTGGGGACATATCGGGCCGAGAGACCCTGGGGTGAAGGTTGAGCTGATGCGCCGCGTACCGAACCGCAAACGGCCACAGAAAATGGGGGGCAGCCGCATGCATCATGGACGTACGAGCGACATCCATGACCATGCCAATGCGGCGCTCAGCAATCCCATTTTGCTGTGGAGAGTCCGGAAGCGTAAAGGTCTGGCGGATCCCCTGTGCACGACAGTAGTCTCGCAGAAGGCGAGAGGAGAACTCCCCACCTCGGTCAGAGTGCAGACGCAGAACAGGAAAGTCCGAGCCGAAGCTCCTCCTGAGCTGGAGACGAGCCTCGCGGATCCAGTCGATCAGCACCTCAGTGACAGCACCCTTGCTGCGCAAGGGGAAGACTGTGGTGTAACGCGAGTAGTTGTCAACCACCAACAGGAAGTAGCGCTCGTGACCCTGCCCACGGACCCGCGACTCAGAGGCTCGGCAGCACGGCGGCTCTGCGGCTCGGGCGACTCGGGCGGCTCGGCGGCAGGGCGGCTCGGCAGCAACTGCAGCTCGGCAGCTCGGCGACCCGGCGGCGCGGCTGTAGGGCGGCTCGGCTGCTGGGAGGCTCGGGTGTAGAGCGGCTCGGCTGCAGGGCGGCTCGGCTGCTGGGAGGCTCGGGTGTAAAGCGGCTCGGCGGCGAGGCGGCTCGGCTGTAGGGCGGCTCGAGACGAAGGAGGAGGAGAAGTAGGGGAGACCACACACCTGCCACCAAGCGGCCCCCTCAGGTCGCCTCGACGTGCGACGGGAAAAGGGGGGGGGGGGGGGGGGGGGGGGGAGCGGCTAGGGCGGCTCGGGCGGCTCAGGCGGCTCGGGCAGCTCGGGCAGTCAGCGGCACAGGCGGCTCGGGCGGCTCGGCTCCTCAGCTGCGCAGACGGCTCGGGCGGCTCAGGCTGCACGGCGGCTAACGGGCGGCGTGGGGGGGCCAGGACGGCGGCGTGCAGCAGGGACGGGCGGCGCACGGGCGGTGTGAGGCCGGGACGGGCGCGCGTGGGCGGCTAGGGGCCGGGACGGGCGCGCGCGGGTGGCTAGGGGCCGGGACGGGCGGCGGGCGTGCGGCTAGGGGCCTGAACGGGCGGCGCGCGAGCGGCTAGGGGCCGGGATGGGCGGCGCGCGGGCGGCTGAGGGCCGGGACAGGCAGCGCGCGGGCGGCTAGGGGCCTGAACGGGCGGTGCGCGAGCGGCTAGGGGCCGGGACGGGCGGCGCGCGGGCGGCTAGGGGCCAGAACGGGCGGCGCGCGAGCGGCTAGGGGCCGGGACGGGCGGCGCGCGGGCGGCTAGGGGCCAGAACGGGCGGCGCGCGAGCGGCTAGGGGCCGGGACGGGCGGCGCGCGGGCGGCTAGGGGCCTGAACGAGCGGCGCGCGAGCGGCTAGGGGCCGGGACGGGCGGCGCGCGGACGACTAAGGGCCGGGACAGACGGCGCGCGGGCGGCTAGGGGCCTGAACGGGCGGCGCGCGGGCGGCTAGGGGCCGGGACAGGCGGCGCGCGGGCGGCTAGGGGCCTGCAGGGCAGGCCGAAAGAGTGAGAGCGAGGGCCCAGAGCGCGCTCCGGGCAGAAAAAAAAGTTTAAAAGTGGTGGGCCCTAAGCACAGTTCCTACGGGGGAACCTGCTCTGTACCATGTGGAGAATAGAGCGAGAATGAATGAACTATCAGTGAAGTGAGTACAAATAGCAAAACCCTAATTGGGTTGTACCCCCTATGGTATACCCCACTGTAGCCTACACAACAGCATAAGCTACATATATGTTCTGACAGCGGGGCCTGGGGGTGCTGAGCCTGGGGGTGCTGAGTCTGGGGGTGTTGAGCTTGGGGATGCTGAGCCTAGAGGTGCAGAGCCTGGGGGTGCTGGGTCTGCTCGTGTGGCCTCTCGTGGTGCTTCGTCGAGGCGGGAGCTACTCTCTCCGCAGGAGCTGCGCGAGTGGTTCGCCCGGCGCTGGAGCCGTGCTGCTGGAGCTCGAGGTACTACTGTTGCTGCTCATCCCGGAGGTGCTCGTACTGGCGGTACTGGAGCTGCTGGGACTGGGTGTCAGACATATATGCTATAGTCTGTGTAGGCTGTAGTGGGGCAGTTCATATAGGGTTTCCTACTTGTACTCCTCTTTCTGCTCAATGCATTCATTCTCGTTTCTTATCATGGTATCGAGTAGGTTCCCTAGTGGGAACGCTACCTAGGGCCCACCACGATATCTTTTTTTTTTCCTGCCTGGAGCGCGCTTCACTCTTGCCCGAGTCGCGCCCTGTGTGCCCTCCCTACCTTCGAGCCGCCCCTAGTGGCCCCTCTCACGGCCCCTTTGGCCGCCCTTACGGCCCCTCGCACCGCCCTTACGACCCCTCGCGCCGCCCTCTACGGCCCCTCGCGCCGCCCTTACGGCCCCTTAAGGCCCCTCGCATCGCCCTTACGGCCCTCGTGCGGCCCCTTTCAGCCCCTTACGGCGCCCGTTCCGGCCCCTTACGGCCCCGTCGCCGCCCCGTTTAGGCCTCTTGCGGCCCCTCTTCGGCTCCGTCTAGGCCCCTTCCGACCCCTCTACGGCCCCGTCTAGGCCCCTTACGGCCCCTCCGCGGCCCCGTCTAGGCCCCTTGCAGCCTTGCCGCCGCCACCTGCGGCCCCGTCGCCGCCACCTGCGGCCCCGTCGCCACCACCTGCAGCCCCGTCGCCGCCACCTGCAGCCACGCCGCCGCCACCTGCAGCCCCGCCGCCACCTGCAGCCCCGTCGCCGCCACCAGCAGCCCCGTCGCCACCACCTGCGGCCCCGTCGCCGCCACCTGCGGCCACGCAGCCGCCACCTGCGGCCGCGCCGCCACCTACGGCCCCGTCGCCGCCACCTGCGGCCCCGTCGCCGCCACCTACGGCTTCGTTGCCGTCACCTGCGGCCCCGTGGCCCTCCCCTAGCAGCCTTGTCACCGAGCCGCCCAGCAGCCGAGCCGCCTAGCAGCCGAGCTGCCCTGCCGCCGAGCCGCCCAGCAGCCGAGCCGCCCTGCCTCCGAGCCACCCTACTGTCGAGCTGCTGCTGTTCCTACCGGTACTCCCCGGCCCTCCTTCCTCGGAATGGTGAGCTCACTCCCTACTAGGCCACTGTAGTCATGGCTACCCCCAGTGTCCTTACTTTTGATGCTGAGGGCCGTGCCGTTGACTTCGAGGTCTGGGTCAATGACCTCCAGCTGTTTCTCCAGTGCGATAGGGCAGACGGACTCTCTCTGTTCGATCTCACCTCTGGTGCCTCTCCTGCCCCGCCTGATACTGCTGACAGCAATGTTCGATCACAGTGGGCCACGCGCGATGCTGTTGCTCGCCTTGCTGTGCGTCGCCACTTACCGACCACTAAGCGTGCACACTTTAGCCAGTACAAGAGTGCTCAGACCTTATACGACGCTGTAGTTGCACGCTACTCTTCCCCTGCCACTGCTGCACTGAGCCGCCTCATGCTACCGTACCTCTTCCCTGACCTTGCTGCCTTTCCTACAGTAGCTGACCTCATTACGCACCTCCGCACTAGTGACACTCGCTACCGCGCTGCGCTTCCTGCTGAAATCTGCGTCAAGAACCCCTCCCCCTATGTACATCACCCTCCACTACATAGTCACCCAACTCCTTGACTCTCACCGCGTAGTCAGGGACCATTCCTCTCAGTTTGCCCCACCACTCTCACCGTTGACCTCCTCGAGAAGGGCCTCCTAGCAGCAGAGAAGAGCATTGTCGCTGTAGGAGCCTCTCGTGGTGACCCTCGCACCCCCGTCTTTGAGGGGTGTTCTCCCTTCCCCCTATTGCCCTCTGTTGCCTCTGCTGCTGCGGCCGACCTCGTTGGTTTCGAGTCGGTCGGCGCTGCGTCTGCCCCGAGCGGGAGACGCCGCACCGGCAAGGGCAAGCGGGGCAAGGGTGCTGGAGGGGCTGGCGGGGGCGGTGGAGGTGGTGGTGGAGGCAGTGGAGGGGGTGGGGGTGGTTGTGGGGGTGGCTGTGGGAGTGGTGGCGGGGGTGGCGGCGGCGGCGGCAGCAGTGCAGGCGGAGGAGGCGGCGGTGGTGGCGGAGGGAGCGGAGGCGGCGGAGGTGGCGGAGGAGGCGGAGGTGGAGGAGGCGGAGGCGGCGGCGGCGGTGGTAGTGGAGCGGGTCGCGACTCTGCGCAGAGGAGTGGCTCAGGTGGTGGTCCGCGCTAGCAGCAGCAGAGTGGTGTGACCCTGTCCCCTCAGCAGCTTCGTGAGTGGTACGCTGTGCGTCAGCGCGGTGGGGGTACTCGTCCCTGCACTTACGTCCTCCGTACCGGCGACCGAGCTGGTGAGCAGTGCGGGGACCCGCACTCCACCCAGCGCTGCTTCGGTCGTCTGACGGACGCGTGGCGTTGCCAGTTCCATGAGGCGTCAGAGATCCCTCGCTCGGGAGATCTGTCTAGGGCGGGGGTTGCCATCTTTGATGTTGACTATGATGCTATCCTTGCTGCCATGTATTCTGTGTCTACTAGTGTTGAGGGTGACTGTTACCTGTGTCTACCGCCTAATCCGGGCATTGAGGCCAGTGCTCTAGGTGCTGGTGAGACTGGTGCTCTACGTGCTAGTGCGTCTGCTGCCCCAGGTGCTGGTGAGTCTGCTCTCTCACGTACTACGCCGGCTCAGGCCTTACACACCTTCACCCTTGACTCGGGTGCGTCCCGCTCCTTCTTTCGAGACCGCACCACTCTTACGCCACTCAGTCGGCTGGTTGCAGTCTCCCTGGTCAGGTGTTTGCTGCAGCGTCCAGGTCTGGTCCTGAGTCTGTTCTGTGCTCGTGTCGTCTCCTGTCCCACAAGACTCTCCTCTGGCACCACCGCCTTGGTCACCCCTCCTTTCCTCGTCTCCGAGGCATGGCCTCCCATGTCCTTGTCTCCGGCCTCCCTCGGTCTCTCCCTCCCCTACCTCCGGGGCCTGGCCCTACCTGTGTCCCCTGCGTCGAGGGGCGACAGCGCGCCGCCCCTCACTCCTTCGAGTTTCCTCCGACAGAGGCTCCGCTGCAGACTCTCCACATGGACGTGTGGGGCCCCGCCCGCGTCAGCGGGCAGGGGCGCGAGCGGTACTTCCTGCTGGTGGTTAACGACTACTCGCGTTACACCACAGTCTTCCCCTTGCTCAGCAAGGGTGACGTCACTGAGGTGTTGATCGACTAGATTCGCGCAGCTCGTCTCCAGCTCAAGGAGAGTTGTCAAACATTATATATATTGTTGTAGTTGTTTAGGCTACAGTGGGTTAGCCTATAGGGGGTACACACTTCTAGGTTTCCATATTTGTACCCATTTCATCCTTAGTCATTCATTCCTTGTTCAACATGGTATAGAGCAGGTCCTTCCTAGGACCGTTTTTTCCTAAGGGCCCACCACTACCTACCTGCCTATCTGCCTACCTGCCCTAGGGCGCCTCGACGTTCACGCCTCTAGAGGCCCTGTAGGCCCCGCGCTGTTGCACCTAGAGGCCCCGAATCGGCCCCGCGCCTAACCCTAACGGCCCGCGTCGGCCCCGAGCTCGTCCCCTGGGGCCCGCGTCGGCCCCGCGCCTACCCTAGAGGCCCGCGTCGGCCCCGAGCCTACCCCTAGAGGCCCGCGACGGCCCCGTCCTTACCCCTAGAGGCCCACGACGGCCCCGTCCCTACCCCTAGAGGCCCGCGACGGCCCCGTCCCTACCCCTAGAGGCCCGCGACGGCCCCGATCCTACCCCTAGAGGCCCGCGTCGGCCCCCGTCCCTACCCATAGAGGCCCGCGTCGGCCCCGTCCCTACCCCTAACAGCCCGCGTCGGCCCCGTCCCTACCCCTTTCGGACCCCGTCGGCCCCGATCCTACCCCTTTCGGCCCACGTCGGCCCCGTCCCCAACCCCACCCGCTCCCCGCGCTCCCCTTAGCCGCCTCGAACGGCCCCACCTAGACCGCGCCGCCCGCACCGAACAGCCCGACCCTAACGGAACCGAGCCGCCCGAACCGAGCCGCCCGACCCGAGCCGCCCGAACCGAGCCGCGCCGCCCGACCCGAGCCGCGCCGCCCTACCTATACCGAGCCGCGCCGCCCTACCTGTACCGAGCCGCGCCGCCCTACCTACCTACTGCTCCTACTGCTTTTACTACTGCTGCTACCATGGCTAGCCCTCCAGTGCTAGCCTTCGATGCTGAGGGGCGCCCAGTGAAGTTCGACACCTGGCTTGATGACGTACACCTCTTCCTACAGCTCACTGCCAAGGAAGACATCTCGCTGTACGATCACGCCCTAGGCCACGCTACTGCTCCTGCTGCTACTGCCGACAGCACTGCTCGCTCACAGTGGCAGACTCGTGACGCCCATGCTCGCTTCGCTATCCGCAACTCTCTGCCGATAGATGAGCGCGAGCACTTTGGGCAGCACAAGACTGCACAGGCACTGTACACTGCTGTCGTTGCCCGCTACTCCTCACCGGCCTCTGCTGCTCTAGGCCGTCTCTCTCTTCCCTACCTGTTCCCCGACTTAGCTTCCTTTCACACTGTCGCTGACCTCATTACCCACCTCCGCACTAGTGAGGCTCGCTTCCGCGCCGCTATGCCTGATGAGTTCCTCGCCACGAACCCACCCCCGCTCTGGATCACTCTCTACCACCTAGTCACCCGCCTCCCTGACTCGCTGCGCTCAGTCAGGGACCACTTCCTCGCTCGCTGCCCCACCGAGCTCACCATTGCCCTCCTCGAGAAGGAACTCCTTGCAGCCGAGACTAGCATAGTCGCTGTAGGTGCCTCTCGCGGTGACCCCCGCACCCCGTTCTTTGAGGGGTGTTCTCCCTCCCCCCTTCTTCCCTCTGTCGCCTCTGCTGCTGCTGTCGACCTCTTTGGTGCTGAGAAGGTCGGGACTGCGTCTGCTTCGGGCGGACGCCGCAGCGGCAAGGGCAAGGGGGGCAAGGGCGGTGGTGGTGACGGCGGGGGTGGCAGTGGTGGGGGAGGTGGTGGCGGGGGGAGTGGCGCGGGTGGGGGAGGTGGCAGCGGTGGTGGGGGTGGCGGCAGCGGCGGGGGAGGTGGCCGGGGCGGAGGAGGTAGTGGGGGTGGCGGTGGACGAGGCGGCGGCAGGGGTTGGGGTGGTCGAGGAGGTGGTGGCGGGAGTGGTGGGCGTGGGGGCACTGGCGGTGGCCAGGGACAGCAGCACACTCCCTCGCCCCAGGAGGTCCGTGAGTGGTACTCTCAGCCCGGGGGGGGGGGGGGGGGGTGGCCTTAGCTGCACGTACATCATTCGCACTGGTGACCGCACTGGCCAGCCGTGTTGGGGACCGCACGCCACACAGCGTTGCTTCGCTCGTCTGAGCGACGCTTGGCATGTTCAGTTCCCTCAGGCCACTGAGCTGCCCCGCTGGCTTGATCTCCTGAAGAAGGGGATTGATATCTATGCTCTAGATTTTGATGCCATTCTCTCTGCCATGTATGTGATGTCTACTAGTGGAGAGGGTTCTGAGTACCTGAGTGTCCCGCCCGACCCGGGCATTAGGACGAGTGCGTCTGCTGCTCCAGGTACCCACGTGTCTGCAACCCCACGTGCTGGTGAGGCTGCTGCTCTAGGTGCGTGCGTGTCTGCCCCCCCTGGTACTGTGTCGACTGCAGCACTACACACCTTCATGCTGGATTCAGGTGCCTCTCGCTGTTTCTTTCGTGACCGCACTGCCCTTGAGCCCCTTGCTCGGCCAGTTGCTGTCTCCCTTGCTGACCCCTCTGGGGGTCCGGTCATTGCGACCTCCTCTACTGTCCTTCCCTGTCCTGCATTCCCGTCGGGCACACTGTCAGGTCTCCACCTCCCCTCGTTCTCCACGAACTTGGTGGCAGGTTCTGCTCTCCAGGACGGGGGTGTTCACCAGTTCACCCCTGCCTACGAGCGTGTGACACACTGCACGTGTGCTCGTACGGGCCGCCACTTGGCTACCTTCACCCGGCAGCCGGGGTCGGACCTGTACACACTGACTACTGCCTCCCCTCAGGTCGCTGCGTCTGCGTCTGCGTTTGCGTCCGCGTCAGGTCAGCTGTCTGCCCCCTGCTCGTGTCGCTCTCTAGCGCACGAGACTGTCCTCTGGCACCACCGACTTGGCCACCCGTCTGTGCAGCGCCTTCGTGCCATGCACTCCCGGTACCTTGTCTCTGGTCTTCCCAGGGTTCTCCCTCCTCTCCCACCCTCGCCTGCTCCTCCCTGCCTTCCCTGTGTCGAGGGGCGGCAGCGCGCCGCTCCTCACTCCTCCTCGTTTCCCCCGACGACTGCTCCTTTGCAGACGCTCCACATGGACGTGTGGGGCCCAGCCCGCGTCCGTGGTCAGGGTCAGGAGAGGTACTTCCTGATCGTTGTTGACGACTACTCGTGCTACACCACGGTCTTCCCCTTGCGCACCAAGGGTGAGGTCCCTGATGTTTTGATCCCTTGGATCCGCAGAGCTCGTCTCCAGCTCAGCGAGCGTTTCTGCCCGGACTTTCCTGTCCTGCGCTTGCACTCTGACAGAGGGGGTGAGTTCTCCTCCGACCTCTTGGCCGCCTACTGTGCTGAGCACGGCATTGAGCAGTCGTTCACGCTTGCGGCCTCTCCACAGCAGAATGGGGTTGCGGAGCGCCGCATTGGCCTGGTCATGGAGGTCGCTCGTACCTCCTTGATCCATGCGGCTGCCCCCCATTATCTGTGGCCATTTGCGGTCCGGTACGCTGCGCATCAGCTCAACCTCTGGCCCCGTGTCTCCTTGCCGGAGACCTCGCCCACACTGCTGTGGACGGGGGAGGTTGGCGATGCGTCCCGTTTCCGGGTCTGGGGATCTTGAGCTTTTGTTCGCGATTCGTCTGCGGACAAGCTCTCCTCTCGTGCTGTTCCCTGCGTCTTCCTCGGCTTTGTTCCGGACGCGCCTGGTTGGCAGTTTTACCACGCCACCTCGCGCCGGGGCTTGCCCTCTCAGGACGTCACTTTTGACGAGTTTGTCCCCTACTACCGCCTCTTCCCCTACCGCACTGCCCCGCTCCCACCCCCGCCTCTCTTCCTCGCGCCAGGTGCTGCTGTCGTAGACCCCCTCCCCCCTCAGGGTGCTGCTCCCTCAGGTGTGTCTCAGGTAGACCCGGTCGAGCCTGTTGAGGTTTCTGTCGACTCTCGTCCTGCTGGGGGTGCTGAGCCTGGGGGTGCGGACGCTGGGGGTGCTGAGCCTGGGGGTGCGGACACTGGGGGTGC